AGAGAGAGAGAGAGAGAGAGAGAGGACACGTACAACGTGCGTGTGTGCGCGGCGGTTTAACGGCGGGCTAACGATCCGCGACGCCGGGATATATGGTCGTGGTGTGTTCATGCCGATTGTAGGAACGGGCGCGCTTCCGACGCGACCGATAAAATGATTTCTCTTTTCCCTCTTTTTTTTCTCTCTCTCTCATCCTCTCCTCTCTGCGGCTCGAACTGTGAAGTATCGATTATGCGCGGTCGTTGGCACAGAAAACACACTCGGGGATTCGGCGGCGGGATGCCCGGGAGTGCTGTGCGATGATATCGATCGCTCGCGTATAGGGAGACGCGCGCGGCTCGCTCGCTCGCACGCTCGCTCTCTCGCGGAGGGAAGCCTTTCGGCGCGATCGGCGGCGGTGAATTGCGAAATAACCGAGCGCTAGTTAATTCGGTCCGGTTGATCGTCCGGCTGATCGCGCGGCCGCGTTTCGAAACGTCCCGCAGGACCGCGAAAACGCCACGCAACGAGCGGCAACCGAGCGAGCGAGTCTCTCTCCGAAGCCCGAGCCGGGATCGCGTGACAGCGCGCGAAACGCGCGCGCGCGCGCGCGCGCTCTCGACTGCTTTGGCGTTTCGCGTTTGGCATAAATAAAGCGCTCCTTACGCCGCGGCTCGCCATTCCTATGTAAATCGCGGGCGCGGGGGATACGTATAGTGTGTGTACATACACCGACGACCAGATAATTTTGCCGCCGCGCGGTCTAATTTTAGACCCCGCGGCTCCGATACGCCCAGGTGTAATGTCGCGACATTCGCGCGCGCACGCACGCACACACGCCGCCCGCGCCGTGTCACATTATCGATTCGAGTCCCGCTCTATGTAAATGTAAACGAGATCCGCGACGCGAGATTGAGATTTTCTTCACCGGCCCGCGCGCCGGCCGATCGGTCGACGCGATGATCTCCGTAAAATGCGCTGTCGCAAAAAAAAAAAAATATATATATATATAGCAGATATGGAGCGCTAATGAGAGCAGTTTCAGCAAGATCTTAATCTATACACTCGTGGACACATCGGTTGCGACACTTTTTTTTATAGGTTTCTCATATATATTTAATATACATAATATATTAATATATATTTTATAGATAACTAATATTTTGCAAATGCGAACCACGATGTACTATATTTAGAGACAGTATAACACCAATCATACTCCGCATTTGCAAAATATTAGTGCGTTTTGAAACTTATAAAAAAAGAGTGTCGCAACCGATGTGTCCATGACTGTACATGTCATAGATATTGGTAGTCTAGACACCGCGATGAAAATTTAAAAAGATACCGCGGTTAGTAATTACGGTCGTCTTTTATTAGTGCTTATTGTTAGCTTAGTTTTTTATTTTGAGAAATCACAGAGTAGCGACAGTTAAGTCGATACAGTAAAATACAACATGCATTTTTTATGACACTGATATTTTAAATATAACACGGTTATTTTTAATATAACACAGAAAGAAGAATTGCTAAAGTATCTAAAAATTTAATAAAATACACAGTTCTAAAGATAATTTTACTGGACTATAAAAATAATTATGTACTCTCAAACTGATTGTTGAAATGTCTCATAATTTTTTTACAATATTGCACATGCTGAGTTTCTTATATAATTATTTTGATAGTTTATGTTCAGATTTGTATTTAACTAAATTTTTTAGATATTTTTGTATGATAACATTAAGCGCAATATAAGTTTCGTTTGATAAAAAAGGTAATTGCATAGATCATTAGATATCGTCAGCCGATTAGTCAGCCGTCAGATTAAATAATTCTGTCACATTGGGAATTTTATTACAGTAAAGAAAGTGAGCTCAAATGTGTCTCGCAATTGCGAGATAATCGATTTTAGAGAACCGTTTTACTCTCCTCTATTTCACATGCACATTTATCCACGGCTATCTTATATCCTTTTAGATTGAGACAGTAGGAGAGCCTCGAATAATCCGGAAACCCCAGGCTATAAAGAGCGCGCCTGATCCCGATCCTGATCCTGATTCCGTATGCACCGTGTACCTATTTACGTGACGTATACCTGGCCCACGGGGGCGCAATCCTCATTTTTCACGTTGCCGCCGCGTGCGCGCGCGTAGCCTATGGGATTCACGTAAATTCGGTATATACCGCGGTATAAGGTACACAGGCGACCGCGGAGGATTGGAAGAGCGAAGAGCGTTAGAAGCGGAGAGAGGAGAAGGATGGGTGGTCCTCCCATCCCATCCCCTCCCCCTCGCCCCTCACCGACCTTCCGCGCACGTCACTCCCGGGGAAAGTTTACAGAGTGCCACTGCGACACGACGAAAGGGGTTGAAAGCTGGTGGACCCGGGACCGAGGCGACTACGAGGAGGACGACGAGGCCGACCCTTTATCTCTCTTCTCTCTCTCTCTCTTTCTATCTCCTCGTTTTCTGAGAAATTGCGTTACATTTGATTCACCGTCGGAATCGTTAGGGTCTCGGGACCCGAGATAGCGACCCACGTTTTTCAAACCGTCCTTGCCGTCTATGAAAGCGACCTTTCTTCTGTCGGGAGCTCTCTCTCTCTCTCTCGCTCTTTCTCCCCTCACCTCTCACTCACTCCTTCTCTCGATTCCACCGCTTTCGTCCTCTTTTCCCTCCGTTTGTCTCAAATTTCAATTCGTAGCTTCCAGCCTGGCACGCGGCGGGCTTCGTGCTCACGCTGCGTATTCCCTTCCCCTCCTCTCGCCCCCCCCCCCTCCCCCGTATGGTATATCTCATTCCGTAGTCATTCCACGCTTAACCCCGGTAATGCATCGGATGGCATGCATCTCCGTTTTCCTTATATCGTACGCGCGTGCAGTTTCGTTACTTTCGGTTTACAATTCAAATATATAAGCCGTAATCTATATTCGGGGGTTCGACCCGATTTCCGGAATTCCTCCTGTTAGCGCGGGGAGGAACAAATGTCACACGACCTCTCTAAATATTTTCACATTTATACAAATATATTATATATACATACCGCTTGTTCACCGCTCTCTCGCCTCTTTGCATTCTTACGGAGACTGAAAAGAACATCTCGTTCTTTTCATACACAAATTTCTAAAGACGCGCATGGGTATTCTGGAAATATTCCTCCATTCGAAATAGCTGCCGTTTGAGTTTCCTTATTTGAATACTCTATCCGAGTAATTTTACAAGAAATCTTGAGAGAGGAGACTTCTTCTCCGAAAATGGAGTCTCCGGAACGTAAACGGAAACGTTATCGAATAAAACCGATTTATTACGGGCGCTCTGCGATTTTCAAACAAAGAATTATTCACTGCACGATGAGTTGACGAAGGATGACGTTTCTGGTCATCCAAGAACACGTCGCTTCTTTTTTTGTTGCAGATATTCCCGGGACCTGTCGCGTATAGTATTTGAAATTCATTTTAGTTTGTCCCAGTTCCGCCGCGCTACACGAGCGAAAAATCGAATGACTTTTTGTGAAAGCTCGTTAAAACTTCAGAGCGCCGCCGCTTCAAACACCGAACGTAGTTATGCCATTCTAAGTCGATATCAAAATGATTTCGACGAAATGACTTCGATAACAGAAGGATGAAGAAATCATAAGCGTAAGGACGCCCTACTTTCGTCCGCTCTCAACAAGCGCAAAAAAGGGGGGCGAAAACGGGAGGGAAAAAAATTAAAAAAAAAAAACGTTTCTCCCGCCGCTCCCTGTTGTCCTAGTTGCGCGCGGGGAAGTATTGTCCTTCCCCCGGACAGACGACTAGCCACGTAGTGTCTTTTGTAATGCAGCGGTGCATCATCATCCTGACGGGTTGTTGTCTGTTGCAGTGCTGCGGGATGAGTTTCGCGCGGAGCCGCAGAACACGAGGGTCGCCGCCGGGGAGACGGCTTTGCTGGAGTGCGGACCGCCTCGCGGCCATCCGGAGCCGACCCTCCATTGGAAGAGGAACGGACACATAATAGACCTGGAAGCGACAAAACGGTGAGTTTTCTTTGTGGACCCGCGCGCGCGGTGTCCCGTCCCTTTGAATTTCGCTCAGCGCACCGCGACCGGGGCCGAAAACGCAACGAAATTGCACGCCCGACGCGAAGCGAAAAAGCGTAATGATTAAATGCGGGGTCGACTATTTTGCCACACGGCGGACCACGCGACGGCGAGGCCTTTTTCCCCTCTTCTCACGGAGGAAGGGGGGGGGGGAAGAAGGGACAACCATCACCGTGAAGACTCGGCGGCAGCTGCCGGCTGCTTGAAAATGACTTTAAGCCGCGGCGCTTCCTTTTACTTCGTCCCGCCTTTGTGGCCCGATTGTCGTCCGACTCGCTGGCACGAGGTGGACGTTAACTCCAGAGAGATGGTCGCCGAATGTTGCGGCGACGTTTTAATAAATATAAACTAAACGGGGCTAAACGCGCGCGGCCGCTGCAATAAACATAAACAAGTAAATAAACGGTAAATTAAAGTCCGAAAATAAACCCGAAAATAAGCGCCGGTGTGTTTTGACGCTGAGTTCGTTTAGCTCGGCCGTGCGCGACGATTAATTCGATCTTGTCACCTGGGCCTCGAATGAATGGTAAAACAATAATAAATATATATATATACCCCCGTTTCCGCAATTTGCGGAAACCCTTTAAAAGCGCGAACGCGTCATCCCGTCGCCACCCGCGCGCGCGCTTCGAACCCGCCCATTCCCGATTAAATTGCAACGTCGCGCTCGCCGCAGCTCCGCTACGTACGAGAAAGCGCCTATACATACGGGAATTTTGCGCGCTGTGTGTCTCCATACGCAATAATGTCGCGGCAGTATAAGAGCAACTTTTTACGCTCGCGGGATTACGGCCGGTGAAATCTACTTTTATAGACGTGAGGCGAGGGTCGGAGGGAAAAGGGCAGTGCGAGAGAGAGAGAGGGAGAGGGACGGAGAACTCCGGATTAACTTAATTCTACCAGCGACGCGCCGGGGTAAAAGGGACGTCGCCGGAACAAAAAAAAAGGGAAAGAAAAATCGTATATCAAACGCCGCCGCTAACGCGAATACGGACGGTTATCTCGCGTTTGCCTTCGCTTTTTCCAAAGTCTCGGTTTAAGCGTAAGTTCTTCACGAAAGATAAACCGAAGATTTATCTTCGACGCACGGCTCGTGTTGCGCTCGCTCGATCGGTCGTATCATTAAAATATATCTCTTCATGCGACGCGCTACATTATAAGACGTGATATCTAAATTTATTATGAGTCTCTCTCTATATAAGCCATTTTGTGATTAAAGTTTGAAAAAGAAATGACAGATTAAATTAACCGCCGTCCATTTATCGGATTTTAAACATCATCCATTTCTATATTTCGCGGCGCTCGATGACGCATTGAATATCTCTGCATTTAACTCCGTCGCTGATATTTTCATCAATCGGAAGTAAATCCGTTGCGCGATGTGTCAATAAAATTTCCCGCTCTGAGGCTTATCGGTTTAATAATAAATCACGCGATGATATTCGGACGTATAATAAAAGCGGGCCGTAATCGCGAGAGGCATGATGTGCCCCGTATTTACCTACGTATCGCGTCTCGACGATCGACGCGTTATCCGAAAGCGTGTAACCGAAACGAGAAACAGGCTCGGGAGAGCCCGCCTCGGTGCAGAAATCGGCGCATAAATTCGGCGGGGTACGAATTTTACCTTTCACCCTTTTCCTCTTCCCGTCCATCTCCCCCCTCTCCTCCCCCTTCTCTCTCTCTCTCTCTCTCTCTGTCTTTCTCTCATTTCCTCTTCCTCCAGAATCAAGCTTTTAAGCGTACGCTTGCGCGAGCCACCTCGTAACGACCCGGCACACTTCCGCGCTCCTCCGCCTGCCATTCGTATCTCGGAACGGGCGATTTTTTTCTCCCCCGAATCCCCGTGGATCGACTCGATCAAACTTTCATGGGGCGCTGAACGCCTCTTAGTTTTTTTCCCCCCTCCCTCTCGCCGCTCCCTTTCTCGCCCACTTTCTCCCCTCTTTCTGCTGGGAGGAATGTGTCGGCGCGGACCCCCCTCGCGACCTCCCTTCCGATCGGCGAAACTCCGTCCGGAGATAAGGAGAAAAAGGAAAGATTCTTATTACCAAAGTTCTCGAATACGCGATGAAGAAAAAAAAACAACCCACGGCTGGGGATTAAGGAGAAATTTATCCGCGGTGTTGCGGCGGCGGCGGCGGCGGCGAGGGCGCGGGAGTGAAAAGTTGAAACGCAATTTATCGACTTAATAAAATTATTAATTGATTAGCCGTGCGATCACGATCACGATTTTTATTCTCTGTTGTTCGTCACGCGGAATGTATCCCCTCCCCTCCTCTCTCGTACGCTTATAGGTTTTCCTATTTCACCGTAATTACTGCCATTTACCGTCGCTTACACCGTATTGTACACGTTGGCTTTAACGCTCTCGGGGACCCCGGGCACATTCCTTCTTCTTTCTTTTATGGATTTCCGTCCTCTGTGGGACGCGGGTACCACGTTTTGACCCGGCGGCACCCGGGAGCACGTGACATACGATTTTTCCTCTTTTTTTTCTCCTCTGTTCCTTTCGGATTTCCAACGGAGTAGAGGGTGGGGGGAAGTAAAGAGAAGGTGGCGCAAAGCCGACGGAAGGCGAGAAATGGAGACATTTTTTTTCCGACGGGGTCCCTCGCGCCCTCGAAAACGAAACGAAACGAAACGAAACGAAACTCGTTCACTCGCTCGCTCGTTTCGACGGCTATTTTCCTCTCCTTCGTCTCGATCAATAGGGTACTCTCCTCCGGTTGTGGCGGCCCGCGGAAACCTCCCCCCGTCTCGTCTCGTTCCCTTCTCCCTCCTCCCCCCCCCCGTTCCCTCCCTCTCTTCCTATCCTTTTCCCCTTGTTTCTCCTCCTCCATCACCACCATCACCGTCCCCGCGCCGGATTTACCGATGGAAGCCCGAAGCCGCGATAAATTAGGACAACCGATAGGAATTAAATCCGGCCGTATCGGAACGCCGAGACCGCGCTTCTCTCTCTCTCTTTCTCCGCTCCTCGTCGAAGCCGCGTGGTACCCTGGTAAAACGGGACATGAAGAGCGATGGAAGAATGGTCGCGCGGTGAGGAGAAGAGAGAGAGAGAGAGAGAGAGAGAGCACGCGGGAGAACGGGAAAGCGGATGGTGAGACGGGCGGGGAGGAGGGCGAGGGAGAGGTAATCGAGCACCACCGACGCGAAAATTAATTGACACTATAAATTAGAGAGCGCGATCGAGAGCTATCGATCGATTCGCGTCGTCGCGAGCACCGTTCTCCATACGCGCGATATTGTGCATGTGCGCGCACCCCCCCCCCCCGACCCGCTTCCCCCGTCCCCGCCACTCAACGAGACGGCCGTTTAATCTCGCGACCGCCGACGCGGGGGAAGAAACCGATCCCTCGGGTAAGGACGGCTCGGGAATGTCAAGTACGCAGCCTTGAGTACCGCGCCTTATTCGCGCGCGCCTTATTCCCTCGCATAAATAATATCGGGACGGCGAGAGAAGGGTGGGAAAAGAGGGGAGGAAACGCGTGTGTACGGAAACGCGTCTCATTCCCGAAGGTTCCTCTCCTGGCGGAGACAAACTGCGTCTCCTGGAACGGAACGATTAACGTGCACGCGCGGGGGTGCATACCGGGGAAGAGTCGCTCGAAATTGTCTCGCGACAGTTCGCGCGAAAAACGATCTCTCGCCCGCCGCGGTCTCAAGTTGCGAAACTTTAGGGTAACATAATAACGACAATATAATGTATTACGATCATAAATATATTACGTGATAACGTGAAGTATAAGGAACATTACTGGACCATTAACGTCTTCTCCCCGAGCGATGCTCGCGGCGTTTTAAGGACGCGGTCGATCTCGGCCGGGCGGGAAATTAATCGTCGGTAATTCTCGTCGTCGTCGTCGCCGCCGTCGCCTCTTATCGAGAACGGGGAAATACCGTCGCGCGCGCGCGTGCGGCGTCTCTTGATTAATCGTTCATCGGCCGTTTTCAGGATAACCCTCGTGGACGGGGGCAACCTAATGATATCTGACGTGAGGCCGGCCGACCAGGGCAAGTACCAGTGCATCGCCGAAAACATGGTCGGCACCAAGGAGTCCGCGATAGCGGTCCTAACGGTTCAAGGTAAGCGTTTCACCGAAGCCTCGTAACACGTGCCTTCCCAATTTAACCTTTCGCGTTTCCTTCGGTTCCCCTCCCCGTCCCCTTGACTACTGATCAAGGACTATAAGAGGCCAAACACGGATTCGTAGACACCGTCTCGAGCTTAGCTCAGGTTTAGCGCCGCACTTAACGCTAATCCTGATTGTCCGATAAAGCACCGTGCGCGCGCCGTCTCGGGCGGCGCGATTGCGCCGAGTCTCCGAATTTGGATAAAATATTCAAGGGAGAGCCGGCGGTTAAAGTAGCTTTACATTGTTCGTCAATATTCGATATAGCTAATTTGCTCCGTGACAGCGTCATTTAATTTAACAATTTACAGCTGTTACATTATATAGATAACATGTACATGATCAGTTGTCGCTCTTGCATTCCCTTTTCATAGCTTTATACCGATATTCCTTTTATATCATTTTCGATGTTCGTCCTAATTTCGTGATAATTTATTTTCGTGCTTTGTGAAAATGAGCTATAGAATTGTCATCGCCTGATACTTTAATTACTCGAGCGGCGTCATTTATCCGTAACGTCATTATAAATGCAATGCTTTGAATTTCATTCGTCTACTTATCATTTATTGCTGAAATCATTTGTTCTTGTAAACCGACTGATCGATCCCGGTAACCGAACCGCGGCGTTAAATAAATAAACGCTCGCGTGCCCAGTTTGTGACCACGGAGCCGTTCGGAATCCGGATGAAGAGCCGCGGGTCCGTAATTCGGGACACAGACGCGGAGATCCTCTCCCTCACCCTTGCGGCGCGCTATCGGGATTTTCCAACCAAATCCTCGCCTTTGTCTTCGCAGTGAAGCCGTTCTTCCTGGTGACGCCGTCGAACCTGACGATCCTCACGGATCAGATGGCGGAGTTCATCTGCAGGGTGGGCGGCGACCCGGTGCCGAACATCCTGTGGCATCGGCACGACGGCAAGATGCCGATAGGCCGGGCGCAAATTCTGAACGAAAAAACAATTTTACACATCGAGCGAGTGACCCCCCAGGACCAGGGGACGTACTTCTGCGACGCGAGCAACGGCGTCGGGACGATATCAGCGGGCGGCACTCTTACCGTACATTGTGAGTACTAATCCTCCCTCTGTCACTTCCCCGGCGTCCTCCCTGCCCCGCTCGGAGGATCCGCTCGACCGTGAAATTAATTACGCGGCCCGGTGTACGATTATCGTGACGAGTAAAGGGGCTGCTGTGCCAGAGAGAGAGAGAGAGGAGGGACAGACGCGCATTATCACCGCATATCAAGCCCCGCAATGTGCATCCTGTCGGATGTCGACTTTTGCGCCTGGCTTCGACGCGAAATCGAATCTGCGGCTTGGAAAATTCGAACATGTTGTCGAGTAGTCGCCCGGCGTGTGCGAGATAGGGGAGCTGTACGATGGACACGGGTATTAGAGCCCGGACAGCCCGAACTTTACGCTCAAGCGAGCAGGATTGATTTCTGAACAGTCATATATAAGCGGTAATATTATATCATCGGTCATGTATACATGTATATTTTCTCTTTTTTCAAAATTTAACTTCTTTTAATCGAGCGAGACACTTAAAACCTAAACCAGCCGCGTTATTTCTCACTATAAAAATACGAGAGATTTTTTAAAATATAAAGTTCAATATAAATTTAGCTGACAACCGATTGATTAAAAATTAAATATGAATAATTAAAACGGAACAAAATAGAATACAGGACGTTTAATATTTCTATCGCTAATGCGGTTATTTTGAAATCTCCTTCGTTCTCAATTGATTAATAAATATTTAATTAAAGGTAATGACAGATTATGTCGATAAGTCGTAAAATTTTCATTTTATTTGCCTGAGGATTAAATCGTAGGTTCATTACGGATTAATCGAGCATTTTTACCGCTGAATATACGACGAGAAGACGTATCCCAAATCGAACCGTTGTTTGTCACAGCGAGGCCAGTATTCACCAACTTCCCCAAGGACGAGACAGTGAACGCCGGCACCGACGTCACCTTCTCGTGCGCCGTGCGGGGCGCCCCGAAGCCGTCGATATTTTGGACCCGGGAGGGCTCTCAGGAGCTAATGTTCCCCGGCCACACGTATCAAAGCCACTACACCGTCACGGTGAACGGAAGTCTGAGTATCAAGGGCGCCGTCAGGAAGGACGAGGGCCACTACGTGTGCAGCGCCATTAGTCAGGCCGGCGCCAGCACCGCGACCGTATTTCTTCAGGTACGTAAGCCTTGTAATCCACGTCCCGACGGTGTTTCCAAACCCCAACGCCCGACAGAGGGATCGCCTACGATCCCCGAAAATCTTCTCCGTCACGAACGTCACAACGGATCTTTTTTCTTTTTCTTTCGTGTAGCACGAAATAAAAAGAAAAAAAGAAAGTTATGATTTAGCACTTGCAAACTGACGGTAATCATGCGTGATGCGCATTCGCACGATGCAGGACAATGAAAGTCGCTAAACACGGACGCGCAACAGTTTAAAATATGCGGGCAAGATAAATCTGTATCCGGGTGAGAAAGTGAGTGAGAGAGAGAGAGAGGCGGGCGCGCACACTAAGTGGTTCATTTTCTCGATACATATTTATATCATCCCCTCCTCCTCCTTCCCTTTCCGGATGAGTGCAGAATTACCATTCCGGCTGGTGTGCACCGCGTGGTACCGCGGTCCTAGCCTGAGGGGAGTTGCCCCACATTCTGGAATAAAATTCTTATCTACATATAGGGAGCATTACAGCGATCTACTTTAGCGAATGGAAACTCCATAACTTCTTCGCTCGCAGCGGGCCAAAGTTGAAAGGTGTAATATAGAAAGGAAACTTTTTGAATTACATATTTCCACCGGCGCGGCCGCCCGAACGAACCTGTTAGACGGGACATTCGCTTAATTCAGTAGCCAAGTATCTCGGGTATGGCCAGCTCGTAATTTATATTCTTAGATACTACAGCAATAAAAGACGTGGCCTCGGCAAAGTTCCTAAGCCGAAATTCAAGCAAGTTTCCAATCGTGGATTATGGACATTTATGTAATCGCTCCACTTTTTCCTGTATAAGAGATAACGTGTTCCGAGTAAAATTCGCCTCGGTATATTAAAGCGTAGACCTCGCACCAACTCCGGACCCCGTCTCAATCCCATATCCCAGAATTCGATGGAAAGGCAGAGCGTGGCGTTTGGCCAGCCGACTGTCTTCTCCGACTCGATGCTCCGCGCGGGCAGACTCCGAATAAAATCGCTGTCGACGAAATAAATAGGTGACGTCCGCCGAGGAGACTCCGCCGCCCATAATCGAGCTCGGCCCGGCGAATCAGACCCTGCCGCTGAAGAGCGTCGCCTCGTTGCCGTGCCGCGCGGTCGGTACGCCCACGCCGCGGGTGCACTGGCACAAGGAGGGCGTGCTCGTGCGACCGAGCGGCCGCATCACGATGGCCATCAACGGCACGCTGTTCATCGACGACCTGCACGCCAACGACTCCGGCCTGTACACCTGCATCGCCTCGTCCGAGTCCGGCAACACCTCCTGGTCGGCGTACCTGACCGTCAGCACCGGCGCCAGTTTCCACCGGACGCCGGACGTGTCGGCGTTGCCGCAGAATCCGAGCAAGCCGCGGATAGTGAACGCCACCAGCAACTCCGTCACCCTGACGTGGAGCCCGGGCCACGAGGGCCAGAGCAAGATCGTCGGTTACAACGTCGAGTATTACAGCAGCAACCTGAACACCGGCTGGGTCGTGGCGGCCGCCGGTGTCCTCGACGACATCTACACGGTGAGCCGTATATCGACGATTCGACGATGACACTTGACCTCCTTTCCCTGCCGGGTGCTTATATCCCGGCGTCGAGTTTCAACGATCTTCTCGAGTAGACATTTTCAGTTTCCCTTCCTTTGTGCATTGTTTTTTCGAAAGTTTAGAAGCGCGTGCCGCTTGGCTGCTTGGCAGGGCAGTTCGCGACATTACGGTGTTAGGTAACGGGCCGATAAACCTAAGTCGCTTATACCAGTCGCGTTGAAAAATCCAATATCAAAGTTTCGCGTACGTTGGAAAGCTATACGTTTTAATAAAGAGACCGAGAGAGAAGCCTAATGCCACAAAGTAATGACCGTCTCTCTACGTATAAGAGACACTTTAATATCACTTTATCAAACAGAGACGCAACGCGTACTTTAAATCTCGCTGCCGCGCAATATAAGGTTTTCAACCAGCCATTAGAGAAGGGAATGTAACTCTCGAAGAGAACAAATATATATCGCATGTATGAAAAAATGAACGGTTAGCTTGTTCAATGAACAGCGTACTTAAATTGCATACGTATGTATGTAGAATTCGTTTTTTTAAATATATTTTTTTATTTATTTTATTCATCAAGCTGACGAATCCGGTTTTCCGCTTTATCCATCAACAGGTGACAGATTTAAGGCCGGAGACCAATTACGTTTTCCTAGTACGAGCGGAAAATAGCCAGGGGCTTTCGCTGCCCGGACCGCTGTCGGACGTCGTGCAAACTACTAACGTAAATCAGCATACGGTACCGCAAGTGGAACTGACTCGCGCCAGGGATCGGTTGAACAGCGAGATTTTACATCTCAAAGAGGTGCAACCGTTGACCAGCACCAGCGTGAAGATCATGTGGGACGTAAGTATCGGCGGCAACGTTACACGCGGCGATTCTGTGCTCGCATCGATTTAGCATAACAATCGCACGGAACGGTCGCGGCAGATGCTAAACTTGAAAATTTTCTAAAAATGCGTCTTTGATATTGACGGAAATTGATACTGACAAACAACGTTTGTCAGTTTATTTTAAAGAGATACTTGTCTATTTCAAACCTGTATCTCTTTTATTAGGGATTCGATTTGTCGAGACTATATTTGTATTAAAAATAGCGATAGACTTCCGTCCAATTTTTTGGAGAAAAAAGAAAAAAAAAACAATTCAGGGAATCTCTTCCGATATTTGAAATACTCGGTTGCGACAGTTGTGGAAGTGGGAAACATTAAAATAACAACAAAGAATTAGAATAACATACTAGAATCTGAATTTTAGATTCTCGGCGCGGCGGATTTAGTGGAGGGCCTTTATATACGGTATCGCGAGGTTTCCGAGGAGCCGGAATATCAGATGATCACGGTACTGAACGCCGGCGCTACCAGTTACGTGCTGACCAATCTGAAAAAGTACACGCGCTACGAATTCTTCCTGGTACCCTTCTACAAGATAATCGAAGGTCGACCGAGCAACGTGAAGCTGGTCACCACGTTGGAGGACGTGCCGTCGGGCGCTCCCGAGAACGTTCACGTGGGAATGATAAATTTGACCTCGGCGTTCGTACGGTGGTCACCGCCGCCGAAGAACACCCAGAACGGCCAGTTGATTGGCTACAAGGTAAGGATCGTTGTTGAGTCTTTTCTGTTAAGTCTATTCGCGAGTGCGTACTTATGTCTTACCGCCGATTCGTATCCGTCCGATGCAGATTCAGATCAAGAACAACAGCAACAACAAGATCCTGGGTCAAATGTCCCTGAACGCGTCCACCACGTCGGTGATCATCAACAGCCTGAACAGCGGCGGCTTATACACGGCCCGCGTCGCCGGGCAAACCCGCGTCGGACTGGGCCCGTTTTCCAGCCCGACTCTGTTGAACATGGACCCGGGACAGCTGACGCAATTACCGCCGCGCACCGATCCCAGCCACGGCGGCGCGTCCGTCGTCAGAGAAACGTGGTTCCTCGTGCTGATAATAACGATGATATTTACCGTTATCGCCGCGCTGCTGGCCGCCCTGTACGTGAGGCGCAGGCAGGCGATGAGCAAGCAACTGGGTCACTTGAACGTGCCCGTGGGTACCGCGAACGATATCTGTCAATTGAATAAGGACACGCTCTGGCTGGAACGAGGCTGGCGGCCGACCAATACTCTGCAGGCCGCCAACGATAAGGACTGCGAGACCAAGTTGCTCAATAATCAGCACATGCTCGCGGCCGGCATAATGGGCATGGCCGGCTCCGAGTACGCCGAAGTAAATCTGACGACATTCTACAATACGCGCAAGCAGATGCAGGCGCCGCCGCCGGAGCCGTACGCGACCACGACCCTGTGCGTGGGCAGCCGTAACTCAGACTCGATCGAGACCAGCTGCCAGAAGTCAAGCTCCAGCGACTCGTGTCTGAAACCGGATTACTCGAGCCTGGACTCGAATCAAGAGCCCAACAAGTCCACGGTGTCGCCGACCAGCGACAACATGAGCGGCGGCGACGCCGCCTACGCGGACGAGAATCTGGACATACAGAGGAGACAGTACAGAATAGCGGGCCCCGCGGGCGACGCGCCGCAAACCGGTATGCCGATGCCCAACTGGTGCGACATGCTGCCGCCGCCGCCTGAGCATCCGCCACCCCTCAGCACGTCCGTAGCCACCGGCCGGATGCAGCAGCACCAGTTGCAGCATCCGCATCAACAGCAACAGCAGCAAGTGGTGCCGTTCAGCCCGCATCTCAGCAAGAGAAGCGTTCAGAACGATCTGGATCACTGCGGCGGCTCAGGCGTCGGTTCGTGCAATCCGCAAAGTCCACCCACCCCGCCTATTAGAGTGACCAACAGCTTCAGCCCGTCGCCGACACCGTGGAGCGGCGGCGGACAGAGTCAGCACTCGGAGACCGGCGTCCTCCAGGTGCCCGGTAACCTTCAGGTTCCGCAGGGCAGGTACACGACGCTGCCGCCGCAAACCAATCCGCCGCCGTTGCCCTCGTTCCCGCAGGGTTTCAATCACTACGATTACAAGAGCCAGGAGAACGAGTACGAGAGCGGCTCCGTCATTTACGGCCACCACCAGAACGGTCTGCCGGACGATTACGGCGCGCGCGGCCGTTCCAGCAAACAGCAGTCGCATCTGACGCCGTCCGCCATGAGCGAGGAGGCGCTGTATCGGCACCGGGACGACATGTTCCACAACGACAATCTCTATCAGCCCGAGAACGACGAGTGGGACAGGAAGTCGTGCGACTCCAACACGCACTCGGACGCGTGCTGCTCGTGCTCGGAATCGAGCTGCCTCTACGCCGACACCGTGCAGTACAACGCGCAGCAGTACGGCACCGCGTGCGGTCACGGTGGCGGCAGCAGAACGGGTTCCCGGAGCAGGAGTAACAGGAGTCCGCGAAGAAGAAACAGGACGTCCTCGCCCACGTACAGCAGCGACAGCAATTACTCCTGCATACCCCAGAGGCAGTGCGGAAGCACGAATTCGCAGGAGAGACTGAGGCATAATCGTAGTAAAGGTAATCGAACCGAAAGGGAAAAGATGAGTTCAGTTTACCGCGTTTCGCCTTTGATTAAACTTACAACTCTCCACCCGAGTCCGTTTGAGCGATCAAACCATATGTATTCTTAACACGTCTCTGTCGTTATCCCTTTCAGACCAGCTGCCTTTTTCAAGAACGGGCAACTACAGCCAACACAATTCCTCGGCCTCCAATACGATGAGCAGTACGGGCAGTCAGCGATATAATAAGCTAAACAGTATCTTTGCAAGCGGTAATAACCCGAACGCTCCGACGGAGTCTAGTCGACTGGGTGACCACCGTGAAAGCTAAATACTGCCTGGACGTGTAGTAAATACAGGACGTGCCTGAACAAAAACGGCCTTCGAGCACAACGAACGATCACAGTCTCGACTACGGGAGGCCGTTTCGCAATCAGCAATGTCGCGGACACTCGTCAAAGTACGGTTCGATTGAGCGCGCCGTGTATATAATATAATAAAAGATACGCCGTAGCGTCTCTCTCGCGGGGTTGCTATATTTCTATATATATATATATATATATACTTGGCGCGAGACGCTACCGCGTCTCTTGATTAACGGCCCGCACGCCATGGAATGGTACATCGATTTGATTTGTTGATTATACACAGGCTCATTAAGGGAGCGAGCTTCAGTGACAATGAGGCAGAGAGATGAATCTCGTATTCTCTCCGCGTTACGTAATATCGAAAAAAAAAAAAAAAAAAAAAAGGTTTTCGCGAGATAATAAGTATTCCATGACTGACAACGTTTACGTTCAGCTGATTGCGTGGCGGTAGCTTAAGCTCGTAGAGTATTTCTGTGTTCGTACGAAGCGCAATAACGGTCTTCTGTCGCGGTAGAAGCGATAATTTCGACACTCGAGGATTGTGAACTCCGTGACCGACGCTCGCGGCGCTTTTTTAAACGCCGATAGACCCCGTTATGTACACGCGATATAATCGATTGTTTTTCTGTATTTTGTACGCGGATGAAGGCTTTCAAAAAAGATAACATCGCGAGAGGAGTGCGGGGGGCGAGGTATTATCTTTTTTTTTTTTAACACTGCCAAATAGACTGATTAACGTATCATCGGACCTTGCTTATATTTCCTTTGTTCTTCACGCCGAGAGGACAGAAGTGATCCCAATTTTCGTGAGAGATATTGAGAAAAAGAAGGAAAAGGAGCAAAAATTCTTCTCTCATACATTTGCAATTTGCTGTCGCGACATGTTCCTCGAGTGAACATTTAACGCCTGAGCGGTCGCACACCGGACTAATAATTCCAGTCTTGAACTTCGCCGTACTCTCGACTGCCATATATATATACTGCCATTCCCCGCTGACGTACTGACTTAGTTCGATTAAGTTGTAATATCTTAAACGGTGGCTCGCATTTTTGGCTTCGCGAGTGTTCAAGCGAGCCACAAAAGTTCTTGCCCGACCGCCCCGGGATGAATGTCCACGCGTATAAATGTCCCGCGTGACATGTCACGCGTTTTTTTGTGTCGTTGCGGCAGCACAAACGGAGAGAAGGATGTACGATGTAAACGGGTTGATCCGCCTGAGCGCGAACTAAGGATTTGGGTCGCGTAAAACGCGTACGAATCAAGCAAGCACGGTCAGTATTGTTGATTGACAAGTTTGGCCTACGGGAAAATCTGACAGCTCGGAGGCAACGAATTTTAGTTCATCTCGTAAAACAATATAAGACAGAACTGAGCTCTTTGTAGTTGTGCTTAATCAAGTAGGTGCTTCTTTTAAAAAAATATTTTTAAAATATTTTTTTTACGACGGGCAGCTATAAATATTTCATTGAAGTTATTGAATATTTGATTGAAATATTGAAACGATTGCAGATATTTTGCGCTCTAAGAGAGATAACGACTCTACTGCTATAGCAATAATGAGAGTATACGCGTACGTTATCGTATTCAGACGAGTTTGTGAAAATGAGACTGCAGACTTTTAGACTAATTCGGTACGTATAGGATAGTTCCGCGATCTCTTCGAGTGTCAAAGTGATTTCATTCCGAAGTCATTGGAACTCGGAAACAATCGAGCCGGCAATCGTTCACAAATTGTGTTCCACTGTGCTGTTCTGTTACACGAGATTAACTTATCGATCGACCTCTATGCCTGCTTGTTCTGTACGCGGAGTAATCCTTTCGCTACGATGGTTTTTTTTTTGCCGAAAGGCTTCACCTCCCACGCGCGGACGTATAGCAATTGTTTTCGCTCGTGAGGCCCCCCCAAATGTAATATATTAAACGGCTCTCGTAGCACGGCAGCAATCGCTCACGTATTCACGTTCCGCGTTTGACGAGCCGAACGAGAGTCCGTTCGATTCCGGAGTCCGTGATAACATCTCTCTCATCTGTATGTTAAACAGCTGACACTCGGGGATCAGACGCGAAATGTGAGATGGGCGGGTGTTTTCGGTGGATACAGTCATCCTTAATGCGAACAATTAGTGACGAAGGACGATTACAGTGTCTCTCAGCGCGCTTCAGGCGGAAGCTTAGCGGAGGAATAGGCAGGCGTAATTGTCGTAGCGAAAGGATTAACGTTGTCGCGCCCCGACGAGAAACGAAATTCGCGCTCGGCATTCGCGACCGGCCTCACAGAGCGTGGCATTTATTTTCGACAGCCTGTAACTATAATCAGGCCACGAGAGACAAATGGAGCATATTATTTTGGATATAACGTTCCTAAATCCTAAGGCAAAATCCAAGGGCTTAATCTCCACGAGGAAGGGCCACGTGTAATTCTTCCAAAAAAAAAAAAAAAAAAAATGAGCGCACGTAGTAGATACGTTTTTAAAACGAAACGAAATAACAATAAAAAAAAACGCGTAATATGCATATATAAAATATACATATTATATATATATTATCATATCACGCAAACGGTCCCTGTATATAAATTGTACAAAGTTACTCTAACGAGATTAGTCATTAGTTATTAATTTATACGCCGTATCGATTGAACTCTTGTTCGCGTAAGCGACCGATTCGTAAGGTATCTCATGTACCCTTTATTACACACGACCTGACTTGTAAAAGTGAGAAACGTAAAAAATGTGCGCTTCGAAATCTGCCGACGGCTTTGTACTGCCGATACAAAGTGCGTTATTCTCGTACGCGTACCTGACTCCGATTCTATCGGATATTTCCATCGTCGTCGCGATCTAATTCGTTTGAAACGAATTACAATTGCAAATCGTACATTGTTTTAATATTCTACATCTAGATTGTTATATTAATATTTTTTTCAAAGATGACGGTAAAAACGAGAAAAAAAATTAAGACAAAAAACTTAAAACTTTTGAAATATTAAAATTGATGGCGCCAGTAACACGATTTGTACAAAAATCTCAAAATTACTTGAAAAAAAAAGAAGATATTTAAGCCTGCGTACTCTTTTCTCCCATTTATCTCTCGACTTTCTGCGCGATGGGACTTTAAATGAAAAACACAACGAAGTACATTTGCATTCGTAACGACCGACTTATTGAAAGCGTCTTTTGCACGGCGGTCGAAGAAGAATTGCTTGCTATTAGAACCGTGAAATTTTATTGTCGTCCACGTCTTTCTCGCCTTTGAAGCGCGCATTTTTAACAGGATGGAGTACACGTCGCGTCTGTACGCGGCGTTTATGGATGGGTCGTCGCGTTTACGGATGATTCGGGCCAGCGTTTCTCCCTACGGTTTCCTCTTAGACGGATATATAGTGTAGAGTTAAAATCCGTGGGAATGTATATGCCAGCGAATGAAATATTTAAGTCTAGGTCACCCTCTACCGGATACAACAACGTTATCCAGTGCGATTTAGTCATTTTTCAAATTACATTTCTTTAAATGTAAATTCTTGATCATTGAATATGTTGCTAAAATATTTTTTATTTGATATATATATTTGACAATAATTTTTTATTTGATTTCGTGTTTATCTGCTTTGTCAGATATCTGAGGTATTTATTTCACACATGTTGAACTGAAAAATATTTAGTTAGTTTTTAATTCAGAAATATAGCGTGACAAAAGTTACAGAGTCCCAAGTTACAGACCCTAGGAGTCAGAGAAGGTAACCAAACAAAAATAACAATGGTGACCTAGGGCTTAATACAAGAAAATTATTGGATTTCATTTTTAATGAGTTTATTTCTATTTATATAAATATATCGAGGATGCGACCTCGTGCGCACGTTGAGTGCTGCCCGCGTTTGCCATTTACCGAGAATATAGAATATAGTGTAGCTCTCTTTTACACGAATATAATTATTTGAACAAAGATAAAAGATTTTATTTACAGATTTGTCATGGAGTGTCGAAATCTGTCTCGCGAACAACGGTCGATTGTTCGATCGCCGGTCCGATTCCGGGGGATTAAACGCCGATTAGACTTCCGTAACGCGCCGCGAAGCCCGTTCGATGTATATACGACAACCGAGACATTTTGTACGCATTTTTAAAGGAGGGGGGGGTCCTGTCGAGATACGGGCCTCCTCTCAACCGCGATAGCGCGCTACGCGGAGGCGAGGGTACTCCGGCGGTCCGCGTGCGATGACCCTTTTTCTTTCCTCCCCGTAACGACGCCGTCGCGGCGCGAGAAGCCGCGTGGGCGTGGCTTTTCCTTTGTACACGCGGGTATATATGCGACTTATTAATTACGACTTTCGATTAAGTGACAAGTGAAAAACGGATTAGCGTTATTCTAGCGGCGCGCTCGCGCGTGCCGAGCGGATCTCGCATGTGGCTTGTTCAATGACGCGTGGTGAATCGCTCAAATTTGTTATACGTACACAATACAATTAGCTCCACTCGGTTCGGAGAGACCGTCTGCTGCCTGAATAATACAGAGAAGTTATAACCCGCGCGACAGGTACTATTCATTCGACCCGACAAACTGCCACCGCCGCATGTAAATTTCTCGCAAAAGGAAGAAAGAAAATATAGGAATTGCGATCTCGGAAGTGATCGGAGGGGGGGAAGGGGGGAGGAAAGAAAAAAGAAGTAATTGATTAGCAGAGATATTGAATTAAATTTGTTAACTCAGAGAATTGAACTTAAGGTCTACCTAGTGATACACATAACTATATTATATATATACATATATATATTATATAGTTTCGTAAGAGTCTCGGCGTATAAGTTTACTCGCGCGCCGGTCGACGCGCGAGTAGATTCATAATCCAGTAAGAAAAAAAAGTCCATCCAAGCAGGCGAAGGGAATAAGTAATGGAGAAGATATCATCTCGATATACTTTTAGGCTAAAAAAGGGGGGAGGGGGGGAGAGAGGCGGGCGAGAAAAAGGAGCGCGAGCGTGTGAGAGTCGTCGAGAGGAGGTAGACGCGAGACTACTGCTAGAGGGAAGCATCTCATTACACGATAATTAGATAGGATGCGTATTTTAAGTATCTCTCCGTCGTCACGTACGAGTGTGTGAGTGTGTGTGTGTGTGTCCGGTGCGAGCTCGCGCGACGACCTGCTGCAGCGAGAGCCGCGCGTCTCAGCCGAGGGAAGGAAGACGCGAGAGCCAGGCGCTTCCGCAGGCACCACTGCTCTCCGCCTTTTTCTCCACCTTCGCCCGTCTAACGCCTTGTCGAAGGAACGGCGGAAATTACCTTCAGCATTCTAACGAGGTGCGGGAACGTTGACTTGCCGTATCATCATATCGTCGTGATACCGCACCAAGTACTGCTCGTAGCTGCGGTTGATAGACGCGTATAGCGACCCTTCCCGACACCCGCGCCGTCGTTAGGAAGCCCGAGGGTGTCGACTCCATGTTCCGTTAGACGAGCGAAGGTGCATCTCCCTCGGGAGATAACTGCGTCCGTCGAGGTGCGAATCCACCGCGAACGTTCTACGATGTTTTAAGCGGCGGTTCTACGACTCGAAGATTTAAGAAAATTGACCAATTACAGTCGATTATTCTTCTTATTGAGCTAAACAATCGACGATGATTGGTCAATTTTCTTAAATCTTAAGTCTTAAATTTTATTGTAGGTGCCGCATTACGAAGAGCGAAACATGAAGACGCTTAGATCGATGATCGTATATTATATCGTTTATATCTGCATTTGACGCAGCGACGGGCGGTGGATCCGCAGCTACCCAGATTACGCGCGCGCGAGCTCGGATCGGCGGGATGCAGGCCGCATATTATCGATGGGGGGGGGGGGAAGGGTTTATTGCATGCACATACGGATATACACATACGTCTCTTCGAAGGCTATACGGAATCGTGACCCTTTCGGAAAAAGCACCGATACTCTCCATTCCTGAATGATCGTGATTCAGCCAACGGAACATGCTGTCAAACCATCGTATCAATCGCGCAAAGGGAACGAGAAAAGATAACGTATTATTTTTATAATTTGTCATCTTTGTATCATTGTTACGATGGTTGAGAGGACTTGTATAAAAAAAAACACACACACAGTAGCGTTTAACTTAAAAAGAAAAAAAAAAGAAGCAAACTGCGCCGCTCGCGTAAACGACATTCAACACGAACACACGATTAACACGCTACAACACACGAAACGTTAATATATCATACACTCCCCCGAAAACACGTGACAGGTTCGTCGAGACGAGCTCTCGCGTGAACGCGCGGCGCGTGATAAACGCGATCAATCGACTAAACTGACGATCCTATTTGTTATTAGAACCGCGGCCATCGGTCGTCGTCACGCGGCACGATACGGGGGAACGAATTGCGTTTAGGGCGAACGATTAACGTTTAAGGGGCGAAATTCTTCGATCTATAAATTCATATCCGGTAGCAAATGTCGAGACAGAGTTTGCCGCTTTTGCGAGAGAGACGCTCTCCGGACCTTTAGACTTGGCGCTGCCAAGACCGCTGAATGCAACGATGAAAAGCCCGACAGCTGCACCAATTGAACTGATCGATGTATTCTTTTTTTTCTCGAGAGCGCTCAGGATCTATTTGGGAAACGTTTCGATATATATTGACAAGTTTGGGATCAAATTTTTTAAATGAGAATTTCTAAGTCTCGAATGAAATGAATAATCGTTCAAAGGAATCGTGTTTTTCAGTGAAACTTGCCAAGAAATTCAATGTTGAGACAAAAGCTTCACTCGATATTTCGTCTGACAGTGAGAGGAAAGTCAATTCCGCGAATTTTTCGAAATGTTCTTGATATAATTTTCAGATCTGAGGTAGTGCATTTTTTTTCTCGAGAGCACTCAGGATCTGTTTCGGAAATGTTTCGATACATTGACAAGTTTGGGATCAAATTTTTTAAATGAGAATTTCTAAGTCTCGAAATGAAATGAATAATCGTTCAAAGGAATCATGTTTTTCAGTGAAACTTACTCGCCGAGAAATTCAATGTTGAGATAAAAGCTTCACTCGATATTTCTCCTGACTGTGAGAGGAAAGTCAATTCCGCGAATTTTTCGAAATGTTCTTGATATAATTTTCAGATCTGAGGTCTCTCTGTGTAACGCAGAGAGTAAAAAAAGTTCACTATATCAGAGCAGCAATCTCGCTCGATCGACTCGTTGGTGCAAGCAAACCGGTCCTGGATCGCGCTTAAAGGATTTAAGTAGACCGTTAGAGGGCTAGAGCTACGTAAAAAGTAATTCATATCATTAAGTACGCGAAATAGTGATTTCGAATTGGAGGCAATGTGAGAGGAAGAGAGGAAAACGAGACAACTGATTTCCTATTAGTTTCTCTCTTTCTCCTGCGACTGCGTACTTCACCGGGTCCGCGGTATACACGTGCGAATTACGACTCGTCGCGGACGACGCCGTATACATGCGCACGTGCGGACCGCGGGGGTCCGCGGAGGCGCGTATTTAGCTCAAGCTTTCCTTTTTATATTCTGTAAATACAGCGAGTAAATAAGAATGGCGAGCATTTTTATATAGTTAATTTTATAATTTATTTACTACGAAAGGGAGACAGACACGCCGCTCGTCTCCCCTTGCCGACCGTTCGTGGAAAACGCACGAGTTGGAGATCCGATGAGGATTTAAAGAGTAAAATAGGAGCGTGCATACCATACAGAAGACACACGTTACACAACGTATACATACACATAGGACATACACGCGCACGACTGTAGATAATTTGTAACAATTGCTATTGTCAAGTACCACGTATAAAGCGACGTATGCTGATATATATCATTGCATATTATACTGATAACGATTAATAAAAGGTAATGTTGAAAATTAAGAGCCTGTGCGAGCAAATGTGAGCGCTTTTATTTAGAACTTCATCCCTTGGTCCCTCCCCCCTCCCGACAATATAAATCCTTTAGTTTTTAACTAGTTTTAAAATTAGATAACGAAAATATACGAAATTCATATTAATTCTATAGATAAAATCGAATTAATCTTTATTAAAAGCTTAGGAATCTCTAATCTTTATTAAAGCTTAAGAATTATATGTATAATTATATCGATTTTATCTCTCTAGAAGTCTCTATTAGCTTAAAAATTATATGTGTCATGAGTTAATGCTGATGTAACAATAATGCGCCTATACAATAATTTTTTTAACAATTTTATAATTAGAACTTGTAAAAATCATATAAGTACCGTAATTTCCAAGAGTGTCTATTCAATTCCGTAACGTTACTTTCCTCTTTATTATGACAATCGTTAAATCGTAGGAATGCCTGTTTCTTATGAGATTTTATAAAAGTCAGTTTTAACCACATCCACCTTTTTTACAACAGCTCCGCTTTGGAGGACGATATCCACGAGTATTGTCGCCCATTAAGGGATTATACTCTGCAAATAACACGAATAATACGGATATTATTTTAATCTACCTTACAATTAGAGGTATGACTTATATTCATAACATGAATCTTACCTGATTTGAACGACTTCGATTTCGTACTCGTACTAGGAGTTTCATCGTCGGTTGCACTACCGAGTTTTTCACCTACGTTTTTATTTTCCAACAGTTTCAAGACCTTTTGTCTCCTTTTCTCTTTCTCCTGGGAACAAAAGGGAACAGATTGCTCCAATTTATATTTCTATTTACGTATATATCTCATTTTCACACTCATATTTTTCAAAAGTATAAGTGCAAAGATGTATCTTAATATATATCGAATAACGCGTAGAAAAAGATACCTCTTCCTCTTTGACTTGTGCTACGGCAGAACTCTTATTGTACGCTTCTTGCATCTTCTGTCGCGCCAGTTCCACGTTGGCTGACATCTGCGGCATTTCGTCGGTCTCTAGACATACAATTGACACAAAGGTGAAACAAATTGCATGTATTGTACAAATAATATATACCGCAAATTATTTGTCGCCCCATCAAGTAAGAATTGGGGCCTTGGGACAAGTCATCGACACTCACTCTTGCCGAGTGCGGCATCCCGCTGGTTCCTCCCGACTTTCCAACTCTTATATTTTTCTTGAATATGTGGAAACGTGTACAAGGCGATGATCCCGAGTCCTACGATGTACCAACCCACAGAAGCTATCGGGGCCCAAACTGCAATAAAGAAAGGCTACTTACAGTTGTGCCGCGAGCGTGACGTTTGCTCCCGGAAGCGGGAAGCGAAGGTAATCGCGATGACACGAATGTAAACATAAGAGCGTTAGTCTGCAAATATGCACATTCCTGCGATACGTACTCGTTTCGAAATAGCTCGGGCCGTCAACGTGCTCCATCTCCGTCTCCGTAATACTCCTTTATGCGTTCAAGGCGAAACTTTCCAGGACGTTAACTTACATGTCACGACACGATGTAATAATTGTAATACGATCAACAATCATCGGCCGTTGACAATCCAGCTTTTCGCGTGACAACTTAATGGCTGTGCATAGAACGCGGCAATGCGCTGCGTGTCGCAAGAAGCGACAGGCAGCGACACGTACTCTCTGACTGACTCTCTGTACGATTAG